GCAAGACCCCTGTCTCTACTATAAATAGAAAGAAATTAATTGGCCAACTAATATATATAGAAAAAATTAGCCGGGCATGGTGGCACATGCCTGTAGTCCCAGCTACTTGGGAGGCTGAGGCAGCAGGATTGCTTGAGCCCAGGTGTTTGAGGTTGCTGTGAGCTAGGCTGACGCCATGGCACTCAACTCTAGCCTGGGCAACAAAGCAAGACTCTGTCTCAAAAAAACAAAAAAACAAACAAACAAAAAAACTCTGTAGAGACTGGGTGGGACCACTGACAGTTTCAATCTGTTGCCTGGGCTAGAGTGCCATGGTGTCAGCCTAGCTCACAGCAATCTCAAACTCTTGGGCTCACTCTTTCCTTCGCTTCAGCCTCTCGAGTAGCTGGCACTACAGGTGTGAGTCACCATGCCTAATTTTTTTTTTTTCTATTTTTAGTTGTCCGGCTAATTTTTTTTCTATTTTTTAGTAGAGACGGGGTCTCACTCTTGCTTAGGCTGGGGACCTAAGCAAACTCCTGACCTCAACCAATCCTCCCACCTCAGTTTCCCAGAGTGCAAGGATTACAGGCATGAGCCACCGCGCTCATGCCTGTAAAACATGAGAAAAAACATATTCTTTTATGCCTTTTCCCCCTGTTCATTATTATGTTACTGAAATTTAACCACTTAACCATTTTGGTAGGTATAGTTGAAAACTTCATTCATTTTCAGTGTTATTTAGTAGTTCATTATATAAATATACTGTAGTTGATAGACATTTGCCAATACTGGTATGAACATGTCTTTTGGTGTCCAAAAGTTTTAGTTTATATATCTAAGAGTGTATAATTGTTGGGTTGTAGAGTATTCAACTCTACTAGGTAATGCCAACTTGTTTTCCAAAACTACTGTATCAATGAACATTCCCATCAGCAACATATTATGCCTGATCTCCCTGATACAACTTTTCAAATGTTTCTTGGCATTAATTTTTCCTTTTCTGTGATATTTGCCAATTTTAAAAACTGGGTTATCTTTTTCTTAATTTTCATGTGTTCTATATATATATTCTAGATCAGTGCTGTCCAATAGAAATAAAATATAAGTCACAAGTGTAATTTTAAATTTTCTAGAAGGCACATTAAAAAAAGGGAAAAACAGGTGAAATTAATTTGAATAATACATTTCACTTAACCTAATAATAGCATTTACTTACCAAAATATTTCAACATGTAGTAAACTTTTGGGGGCTGGGCGTGGTGGCTCATGCCTATAATCCTAGCATTCTGGGGGACTAAGGCAAGGGGATCACTTGAGGTCAGGAGTTAGGGACCAGCCTGAGCAAAAGCAAGACCCAATTTCTACAAAATTAGCTGGGAGTAGTAGTGCATGCCTGTATTCTCAGCTGCTCAGGTGGCTGAGGCAGGAGGATTGCTTAAGCCCAGGAATGTGAGGTTGCAGTGAGCTATGATGATACCACTGCACTCTAGTAGGGACAACAGAGCAAGACCCTGTTTCAAAAGAAAAAAACAAAAAACTGTTTTTGTACTGTTTGAAATCTGGTATGTATTTATATTTAAAACACATCTTCATTTGGCCTAGCTACATTTGAAGTACTCAATAGCCACATGTAGTTAGTATTGGACAGTATAGTTCTAGATTTTTTTTTTTTTATAGTAATTTGTGTTGCAGATCTTTCCTTCCAGATTATGATTTTTCTTTATACTTTTTGTATTTTTTTGTTTTTGTTTTTGTCAACTGATCTGGGACTTTATATACTTTTTGTCTTTTGATGACAACAGTTTCAAGAGAGTTGATTTTGTTTTCTTTGATTTGCACTTTGAGTTTTGAGAAATTTTCCCCTTTCACTAGGGCATGTTCCTAAGAAAGTGTATTATTCTATATACCAAATCTTTTCATCTTTTGCCTTTTATATTAAAGTCTTTGATCCATCTAGAATTGACTTGTAGGTATAATATGAAAAATCCATTTCTATTATTTCTCCAAATAGATAACCAATGGTCCCAGCTCCAATATTTTAGTGTTGATGTTAATTTTGTAAATAGGACATTTTTTTTTTTTTTTTCTTTTTTTTTTTTTTTATCAGGGGAAAGCGCCGAACGCAGTCCCCCACTACCACAAATTATGCAGTCGAGTTTCCCACATTGGGGAAATCGCAGGGGTCAGCACATCCGGAGTGCAATGGATAAGCCTCGCCTGGGAAAACCACCTTCGTCGATCATGGTATCTCCCCTGCCAGGTCGTAAATAGGACATTTTATTTACTTTTACTTGCTAACTTCTACCTGCTATGAAAATACAGTTGATTTTTTAATTTGGGAAACTTGATAAATTGTCATAATTCTACATATTATTTTGTAAATTATTTTGGGTCTTCTAAGACAATCACATCACGTACAAATAATTCTTTTTTATTCCTTATGTGTTTTATTTCTTTCATTGTTTTATTTTGCTGGCTAGGACAAGTATAATGTTGAACAGATATGGTGATAGTACCTTGTTTTATTCTTTTTTTTTTTTTTTTTTTGAGACAGAGTCTCGCTTTGTTGCCCAGGCTAGAGTGAGTGCCATGGCATCAGCCTAGCTCGTAGCAACCTCAAACTCCTGGGCTCAAGCAATCCTTCTGCCTCAGCCTCCCGAGTAGCTGGACTTTACGGGCATGTGCCACCATGCCCAGCTAATTTTTTCTATATATATTAGTTGGCCAATTAATTTCTTTCTATTTATAGTACAGACTGGGTCTCACTCTTGCTCAGGCTGGTTTCAAACTCCTGAACTCGAGCAATCCGCCTGCCTCGGCCTCCCAGAGTGCTAGGATTACAGGCGTGAGCCACCGCGCCTGGCCTGTTTTATTCTTAATTTTGAAGAAAATGTTTTATTTCACCATTGTATATAATAGTTGCTCTAGGTTTTTTGGTGGATACCTTTCTATCAGGTTAAAGAAGTGCTCTTCTATTCCTGGTTTGCTAGGAATTTTTTTCCTTTTTTATTTTTCTTAAAACAGTTGCTGCATTTTAACAAACACTTTTTCCTGCATCTAAAGGTATTTGGTTGTCTAATATGTATTAGCTTCCTATTGCTGCTTTAACAAATCACTATGAACTTAGAAGCTTAAGACAACCCAAATTTATTATTTTACAGCTCTGCATCTCAGAAGTCTAGTGTGGGGTTTAACTGACCTAAAAAGTTTTGGCAGGCTGCATTCTTTTCTGGAGGCTCTAAGGGAAAATCTATTTCCTGTTCATTTGGGTTGTTGGCAGAATTCTGTTCCTTGAGGTTGTAGGACGATGATCCCTGTTTTCTTACTGACTGTAAACTGAGTGAGAATCATTTTCATCTTAAAGAGGTTACCACATTCCTAGGCTCATGGCCCCTTTCCTCCATTTTCAAAGCTAACAATGAGTAGGTTGAGTCCTTGTCCCTTTGTCTCTTAGACCAACCCTTCTGCTTTCCTCTTCTAATTTTAAGAACTAGTGATTGGGCCTACCCAGATAATCCAGGATAATCTCCCCACCCCATGGTCTATGACCTCAATCACATCAAAGTTCCTTTTGCCATGTAAAGTAATATATTCACAGATTCCGGGGATTAGGGAGTGGACAGTTTTGAGGAACCATTATTTTGCTTGCCATGCCATCATAATTTGTTAATATGGTGGATTACTTGAAAAGATTTGCAATATTGAACCCAACCTTGAATTCCTGAAATAAACTCAACTGGATAATGATTATTATCTTTTTAACAAATTGCTGGATTTGCTTTAAATAGTATATTGTTCAGAATTATTGCATCTTTGTTGAAGAATGAGAATGGCTTGAAATTTTTCTTTTTCCTGTCTGGATCTGCCTGTGCCTCTGTTCATCTATCCTCTCTCCATCCCTTCCTTTATGTGGAAAAATTGACTGCTGTTTGTTTTTTTAACTTTGTCTTAAAGACTTTGACTGATTTGTTTTTTAATAGTTCTAGGATAAAACAGGTTTTCTATTTCACATTGAGTCAGTTTTGCTAATCTGCATTTTCTAAGAAAGTTGACAAATTTTCACATTGACATCAAATTATTCTTAACTTTGTTAATTCTATAATCTCTGTAGTTTTCATAGTTTTGTTTATTTAATTAATTAATTTATTTTTGAGACAGAGTCTTGCTTTGTTGCCCAGGCTAGAGTGAGTGCCGTGGCGTCAGCCTAGCTCACAGCAACCTCAAACTCCTGGACTCAAGCAATCCTTCTGCCTCAGCCTCTCGAGTAGCTGGGACTACAGGCATGCACCACCATGCCCGGCTAATTTTTATATATATATTAGTTGGCCAATTAATTTCTTTCTCTTTATAGTAGAGACGGGGTCTTGCTCTTGCTCAGGCTGGTTTTGAACTCCTGACCTCGAGCAATCCGCCCGCCTCAGCCTCCCAGAGTGCTAGGATTACAGGCGTGAGCCACCACGCCCGGCTGACATTTATTTTTAGTTTGTCTGATGTTAACTTAGCTCTACCAGCTTTCTATTGTTATATTAGCGTGACATCTTTTTCTAACCTTTTTCATCTTTTTGTGTTCTTGGGTTTAAGAATATCTAATAATATGTGGCTGAATTTTATTTTCTTGTCCATTTTACATTTAAAAAAATTAGTTTATTCCATTTATATTTACTGTAATTACTGAAATATTTTCATTTATTTTTATCATATTGTATTGTGATTTCTATTTGTCTCACTGTTTCTTTTTTCTATCTTCATATTGTGCCTTTTTTGGTATTTTTCTTCATTTTATTTTCTTCCTCTGTTCATTTGTAAATTATATACTCTTTTAGTAGTTACCCCACTCACTTTAAGTTACTTAAAAGAGTAAAGGTTAAAGTCAATCAATATTTTTATTCTCTTAAATAATACAAGGACCTTGGAAAACTTCAACTCCAACCCCACCTATCGCACTTCCAAATTATATGAATGTTATTTTGTTGTCCAGGGTATTAGTTCTATTTTGTTTTACTATCCACACAAATTACTTATTATCACTTACTTATTAATTTATTTGTTCATCATTCCTTTTTGTTATCAGGTTTTTTTGTTGGTGGTAAATTCCAGGTTTTTTGTTGAAAATGTCTTGAATCAGATTACCTGGTCCAAATCCTGGCTTTACTTCTCCTTAGTCATATGACCCTTGATATATATCTTAACCTCTGGAATCATTGGTTTATTTGTCTGTAAAACTGGGATAATCTTGAGTGCTTTTATCCTCTGTTGGGTAGGACAAGTCTTCGTGGAAGATGCAATGAGAAACTTCTGAGGAGATGAGTTCTCTGGAAGTGTGCCAAGATCTAAAATAAAACAGAATAAAACAAACATATACTATAATCACTTTCCTGAATGTTTGGTAACTGTGGGGAAGACAAGGTTAACACATATTGAAAAAAAGTTACCTAATAACAACATTCCTGTATACTTGAGGGTTGTAGTATGTGGTTCTTTTTAATAAATATTTTCAAGATCAATGAAATAGCTAGCTGTAGGAGCTTACAAAGGAGACTTTACAGAAGATAGTGCTTGGCTGGATGTCAACTTCTTAGCTAAGTCCAACAATCTAGTCTCAACAGAAAAATCCAATGTGAACACTAAGAGTTTCTAAAAGAGAAAGAATTGGTAAAAAACAGAAAAGATTTTCAGAAAAGAAGCAAAGTAATTATTCATTAAATACCTGGTACAGGCTGGTAGCGGTGGCTCACGCCCATAATCCTACTACTCTGGGAGGCCAAGGTGGGCAGATCTTTTGAGCTCAGGAGTTCCAAACCAGCCTGAGCAAGAGCGAGACCCTGTCTCTACTATAAATAGAAAGAAATTAATTGGCCAACTGATATATATAGAAAAAAATTAGCCGGGCATGGTGGCACATGCCTGTAGTCCCAGCTACTTGGGAGGCTGAGGCAGGAGAATCACTTGAGTCCAGGAGTTTGAGGTTGCTGTGAGCTAGGCTGACGCCACGGCACTCACTCTAGCCTGGGCAACAAAGCGAGACTCTGTCTCAAAAAAAAAAAAAAATCAGTTAATAAAGCAACCTGAAACAGAAAGCTTGCTTGTACAGTAAAAACAACTATAGAGTTTGATAATAACATGTAGGAAGGTGATGATACATATATGTAAAAGGAGTTGTAGGAGGTAAAGCTCAGTGTATGTTGTGTATTGTTTTCTACATTCCTCTTACCTTGTGTTGGAATGTGTAGAATGAACATGAACAAAAATTAATTATAATTAAAAGATATACAACTATTACATACCCATAATAATTAAAAATAAAAAAATTTAAAAATCAGTTATAATTAAAATAGTCTCCCCTTACCTATAGAGGATACATTCTAAGATCCCTAGTGGATGTCTAAAATTGAGGATAGTACCAAACCCTATATATGTTTTTTCTACACATAATTATGATAGTTTAATTTATAAATTAGGCATAGTAAGAAATTAACAATGAATAAAATAGAACAATTATAACAATATACTATAATAAAAGTTATGTGAATGTGATAGATTTATGTGGAGTAAATGGGTAGGGTGGCTTCCCCACTCAGCTGCAGCTATGGATTCAAGGGGGAATGACCTTTTCCTTCTCTCCCAGAGCCTTGGCCAGTTCCCATTTGAGGAAGCAGAACTTTGGCCTGGACACATGGAAAAAAGGAACCACCCAGTGACACCTCAGATTACCTCACTGTTTTGATTTAAGTGGTTCTATGTTGTGTCTGTCCTGAGAATTGTCTGGTCAATATATTATCTCAATCGCTCCTCTGCCTTTTGGCTAAGATCAAGTGTAATATATTACCTCAAAAATTTGTTTACATATATTAATAGTTTTAGAGAATGTACTCAGGGGATCAATTGGTGCTTCCTGCCCCAGCTACATTTTTTCTTTCTCCTACCTCTTTACGAAGTACCCGAAGCCTATCTATGGAGAATGACTGACCCTTGGACTTCTGTCTTCCCTAAAGCAAGAGATGCCAGAGTTGATTTTGTTTCAGAGTCACTACTGGGCACCCTAGGGTCCCCTGGGATGGGCATGGTCTGTGCCCAGAGGAGACAATAACAGCAGGTGCAATTTAAAGGTTCTTATGGGCTGGGCACAGTGGCTCACACCTGTAATCCCAGCTACTTGGGTGGCTGAAGGAGGAGGATTACTTAAGGCCTAGAGTTTGAGACCAACCTGGGCAACATAGCCAGATATCTGTACAAAAAATAGAAAAATTAGCTGGGTGTGGTGGCACGTGCCTGTAGTCTCAGCTACTGGGGAGCCTGAGGTGGTAGGATCACTTGTGCCCAGGAGTTTGAGGTTGTATGGTGAGGTATGATGACACCACTGTACTCTAGCCTGGACAATAAAGTGAGACCCTGTCTTAGAAAAAAAAACAAACAAACCAAGGTTCTTATGGTTTTCAGCACCGTGGGATGGAATGTCTCCTTTTCTATTTTTTTTTGAGACAGGTTCTCCTGTCACACAGGCTGGAGTACATAGCTCACTCCAGCCTGGAGCTCCTGGGCTTAAGCGATCCTACTGCCTTAGCCTTCAGAGTAGCTAGGACTACAGGCACGTGCCACCATGCCTGGTTGGAATGCCTTTTATGTTTCATATTAGGACTTTTATCTATTTTTTTTTTTTTTTGAGACAGAGTCTCGCTTTGTTGCCCAGGCTAGAGTGAGTGCCGTGGCGTCAGCCTAGCTCACAGCAACCTCAGACTCCTGGGCTCAAGCGATCCTCCTGCCTCAGCCTCCCGAGTAGCTGGGACTACAGGCATGTGCCACCATGCCCGGCTAATTTTTTTCCATATATATTAGTTGGCCAATTAATTTCTTTCTATTTATAGTAGAGACGGGGTCTCGCTTTTGCTCAGGCTGGTTTCGAACTCCTGACCTTGAGTGATCCCCCTCCCCTCGGCCTCCCAGAGTGCTAGGATTACAGGCGTGAGCTACGGCACCCGGCCCTTTTATCTATTTTTATTTATTTTTAAATCTCAGAAAAGAAGGTATGGGGACTTTTAGATTAGATATTTTCTTTTAAACACATTTGCTGAAGCCTTTATGTAAGAAAGTAGGGGACAATGAGTATTTATTAAAACCAAATTATTTCATGGATGTCATCAGGAAGCTAGGCTTAAGTATGTGTTCTGAGGATGCATTTTTCTTTACTTAAAAACATGAGTCCAGGCTGGGCGTGGTGGCTCACGCCTGTAATCCTAGCACTCCGGAAGGCCGGAGGCCGAGGCAGGAGAATTGGTGGAGGTCAGGAGTTTGAGAGCAGCCTGAGCCAGGGCGAGACCCTGTCTCTATTAAAAATAGAAAGAAATTTGTTGGGCAACTAAAAATATATAGAAAAAATTAGCCGGGCATGGTGGTGCCTGCCTGTAGTCCCAGCTACTCGGGAGGGTGAGGCAGAAGGATTGCTTGAGCCCATGGGTTTGAGGTTGCTATGAGCTAGGCTGATACCACGGCTCTCTAGTCTGGGCAAGAGAGTGAGAGTCTGTCTCAAAACAACCCAAAAAACATGAGTCAAAAGAACTAGTGCTTTCATAGATGATGACACTGCCCATAACAACTCAGTTCATTTATTTCTGTCTGGGGCTTAGAATTCCCCACTGATCCCTATAGTTTGACATACTTATTGCATTGGGTTCTGACCAAACCAAGGCTATCTGAGACTATGCATTCCAGAGCCCAGGTGCACCTCCTGCAAGAAAATTGCCAACTTTGTTATTAAGGAGATAGGAAGCCTGCACCTGACTGCTTTTTCCCTCATTCATCTCAGCTTAGATCCTTATCACTTCACACTTAGGTTGTTTCAGCCACCTCCACCTAAAATAGCCCTTTACTGCCTGCCTATCCAAAGTCAAATGGTTCCCAGTGGGCCCATGGCCCATTGAGCCCATGTGACATCTAAGGTACAGGGCCTCAACTATTCTTTTTTTTTTTAAGAGACAGGGTTTTGCTCTATTGTCCAGGCTAGAGTGCAATGGTGCCATCATAGCTCACTAAACTTGAACTCCTGGATTCAAGGGATCCTCTCACTTCCCAAGGTGCTGGGATTACAGGTGTGAGCTACTGTACCCAGTCTTCTTCTTTTTTTTTTTTTTTGAGAAAGACTCTTGCTTTGTTGCTTGGGCTAGAGTGAATGCCGTGGCATCAGCCTAGCTCACAGCAACCTCAAACTCCTGGGCTCAAGCAATCCTTCCACCTCAGCCTCCCAAGTAACTGGGACTACAGGCACGAGTCACCACGCCTGGTTAATTTTTTGTTTCTATTTTTAGTTGACTGGCTAATTTTTTTTTTTTGTATTTTTAGTAGAGATGGGTCTCACTGTTGCTCAAGCTGGTCTTGAACTCCTGACCTCAAGCAATCCTCCTGCCTCGGCCTCCCAGAGTACTAGGATTACAGGCATGAGCCACTGTGCCCAGCCTGTACCCAGTCTTTTTTAAAGCCCAAAAGATACCACTCACTGGGCATTTAATGAAAGGCATTGTGTCAGCATGTTGACAACATTCTCTGTCTGGTGGATAATATCCCCAGACAGATATAATAGGTGAGGCACCGGAAGCATGAGAAGCAACATGCTCAAAGTCACATAGCTAGAAAGTGGATGGTACAATGCTGGGTAGAGCTGCCTTTTAACCACTGCACTATAATGTCTGAATAAGTAATAATACAATTATTATATTAATAGCCACTATAATGCCTGAATGATGCTGACATTTATTTAAAGTTTAGGGCTTTACAAATGTTATTTCATTCAATCATCACAACAGTGAGAAGACCAGTTCACACCAATATTCTCAGTTTAAGGTGAGAAAAACCACAGGGAAATTTGTAACCACAGGGAAATTAGTCACATGCACCCTGTGTAAAGAGGCCTTGGGGAGACTGGAACCTAGGGTGTCAGATGGACCCTGGACCTTGATGCTGCTGAAAGTACCAGAAAAAAAATGCCAAAACAAACCCTAAGTGATAATAAAACACTAATAGACACTGCTAGGCTACATATATGTAACGGATACATATAAAAAAGTTAGCTAGTGAAGGATATTTAATCTTTTAGATTACATTTAATTATGACACATACCTTAATCCAACGGTTTGCTGGTAAAACGCGATTCAATATTAGAGTGACAGAAAAAAAAACCCCACCCCATGAATCCTCAATTTCAAAGTTACCAATTGCCATAAATTGAATCCCTAATTTCAAGGTTATCAATTGCCATAAACTCTTCAACGTCCTGAAAGTTTAGCTATGGATTATGTATTCCTGTTTCTCTTTCCAAAAATAACTAAAAACCTATAGCCTCTCAAGTTATCCTACTTAATCCTTTTTTTCCCCAGAGTCTCACTCTGTCACCCTGGGTAGAGTGCAGTGGAGTTAGTTTAGCTCACAGCAACCTCCAACTCCTGGGCTCAAGCGATCCTCCTGGCTCAGCCTCCCGAGAAGCTGGGACTACAGGCGTGAGCCACCATGCCCGACCCTTATTTAATCTCATCTTTTCATTTTTGCAAGTAATTAATAACCTTCGGTCAGGACGCTGCCTCCAAGGCCTCAAGAACCATGCAGAAGATGGGAGCTGGAGCCTTCCAGATTTTGGGGTGGGGGCAGAATACTGTGCCGAGGTGGAGGGTAGGAGGTGGTGGGGACGCCGCCCAGAGCTGGGCGATGCGGGCAGAAGACCCGGAGGGCGCGGGGTGCACCTAGGGAGATCGGCCTGAGAGCGAATCCTCGGCCTAGCTCCACTTCTGTACTCGCTAAGCGGACGAGAAGAGGCAACGCGTAGAGAGAGCGAGAAGGAAAAATAGAAAAGGGGCGAGTAGGGCGAGAGACCCGGGAGAAGCAGCCCCGCGTTACCTCAGAGCCCGGAGGTCTAGGGGAGGGCTCTTCGGCACCGCCGCGGACTCTGGGGCTCCCGGAGAGCCGCCGGAGAGGGAGGATAGGCTCCTGACGAGCTCTGGGCGTTCTCCAGACGACCGCAGCAAACAATCCTGTAGCGGGCCCAGTCACGTCTCCGCCCCCGGCCGTCCAGCAGACTGAAGGAGGGGTAGCGGTACTACCCCTCCCGATTCGGGACCGGCCGACATCACTCCGGCCCGGGGCTTATTGTTCCAGAAAGCCGCCCGCAGGGTCAGGCCAGGTCCGCCAGGCTGTGTTCCGCCCGCTCGCCCCAGCCTGGGCTGTAGGCGCCTAACGAGAGTTAGTGCGTGTCTCTTTAAGGGGCCGGGCCTACGAAGCTGAGGGGCGGGTGGGGCGTGCGTCGCTCCCAGTGTGAGAGTGAGAGGGAGAGAGCGGCGGGCGGGCGCCGGAGGGAGGGAGGGAGGGAGCTAGCGAGCGAGCGACGCGGGCCGCCTCTGCCGCCGCCGCCGCGGTCGGACTAGCGGCCTCCTCCCCTCCCCTCCCCCGCGTTGCCTTTGCCGCGGGGAGGGGGCTCGCGTCGCCGCCTCCAGCCGCTTCTGATGAAGCAGTTGCCGCTGCAGCCGCCTCCAAAGATGGGGGATTTCTACGACCCTGAGCACCCGACCCCTGAGTACGTATCAGCTCCGCGGCCTCCCGCTGCCATCGGCCGCCTCAGTCCGAGCCGAGGGCAGCCCGTCCTGACGGGGGGCGGCGCGGGCCGGCGCAGGGAGTAACGGGCCCACGGCGGCCTCGCGCGGTCGGTGTAGGGAGCAGGCCCGCGCAGCCACCTCGGGCCGCCTAGCCTGGGCCGCCCAGGGCCGGCGGCTGGGCCAGGCGTTGGCGCCGCTGCTCGCGACGCTGCGGCAGTTGGGCCAGGCCGTTGGGGGAGGGGAGGCCACTACCGCCGCCGCGTCCGCACCGACCTGGCCAGCCCGGGTTTCGGCGGTCCCCGCGGGCTTCCCGCGGATCGCCCTTGCTCTGCTGCAAGCGAAGGGCCCGAGTCGGAGGAACTGCCGGTGCCAGGCCCGGCAAGAGGGCGCCGGCGAGGGTAGGCCGCGAATCCCCGGGCTCGGGTGGAAGCCCAGCCCGTCGCCCGGCCTCCTCGAGACGGCGGCTCGGACCGGAAGGGCCTAGCGCGCGTCGCCTGGCCCTGGGCCGCCGAGGGGCCTGCACTGCACTCTCGGGTTTGATTTTTCCTCCTGGAATCTCAGTCCTGGCCTCGTAGTGCCTCCGGCTTCACGTTCTGCACCTTTGGCTCTTGGGTTTTGTAATGGTGGCGAGGTTTGTGTGGTCCGTTGTTGAGGTGACACCGGGTTTGTTTTTTCGCCCGAAAATGAAAGCCTTCTGATGGGCATACATTTTCTTACAGATTATGAGATTTTCATACTTTCGGACACTATTTCCTTGGTAACAGGAACCTCTTACCCGAAACGGATGACTTTCTGCTTGTGAAGACTTAATTAAAAACCAAGAATCGTTTCAGGATTCTCTAAAGAAGACAACCTTCTGGAAGACCAAAATGTGGCGTTGCCCAATAGTACTTTTTCATTCTAGGACGTTTTTACGTTTCTCTTGAGGGCTGTTTCTACTGCTGTATCTGTTACCTCAGAAAGCTTCCACTTTGAAGCCTGGAGTCCCTTCTTTCCTTATACCCTTACAAGACCATTGTTTTGAAAAGTCATTCTTGAACTCCATTTGCTGGTGTTGAAGTTTAGACCTAGGAATATACTACTGATTTCAAACTCGAGGATTGTTAGGGGCTTCAGATGAAACTGTCAAACTTTTATGACCAGAATGATTCTAAGAGCTTACCTTAGGTTTTCTATGGCTCATTTTTAAAATCCGTTGCCACATCTTTTCACCTGGGTTCAGAAAAGTCTGGATCTTCGGTTTGAATGCAACAGAAAAGGATTCTGTTGAGGTGTTGATGGTCATTTCTGCACAAAAAGAGAAATCATTGTTTACCTTTCTAAAATAAAGCCCAATTCATAACTTGGAATAGTAAACTCAACATGGCTTTATCCTTTTCATGAGTTCTTGGTCACGAGTTAACATTACCTTAGATTGTTTTGATTTACTGCACAATCAATCCAATTACAAAGCTTATGTTACAGGTTTTTAGTTTGAAAAACCTAAAAAAAGTAATTCTGTATCATTCAATGTTTATTGAGCACTTGTCCTGTACAAAGTAACATGCTAGCCCCTGAATAGGCTAAGTCCCTACTTTCAGTTCCTTTTACCAGGTTGTTTGGTGAAGTCCAGAAGCTTTAAGGATCACATCCTTACACTTCTTGGGGGAAAACAGTTTTTCATAATGTATGGGAAAGTGGACTCAAAAGTGCATCTTTGGTGGACATGAGTGAGGAAGGAATCAAGAATATTTTATTCAAGGTCTTAGAGTTTTTATTTTTACTGCTTTTCTGCCTCCACTGCTTTAGATTTCTAACAGTGATTATATAAGTAATGATATATTTTTCTTCTTGTGTATTAACCGGTATAGAGTATAGAAAGAATTATAAAATGTTTTCTTTCATAGTACTGTAAGCACTGGCGGGAATCTTTTTAGGTATACTGAACAATATCATATATTTTGCAAGTGAAGAAAATGAAGCTTCAAGAAGTGAAGTGACAGCAAACCCTATGAGGTAGTGTATATAAACTAGTAGTTATAACATTGGATAGGGGAAAGGCAATGTAGGTTTAACGAACTTGGATTTCAGATCAGACCTGTGTTTGAACACTAGTTTAACCTTAGAGAAGTGACTTCATGTCTCTGAGCTTGGCTTCTCTCATCTTTGAAATAGGTATCTAGTGGTAGCAACTTACTAGGGCCTTGGGAAGTATTGAATGAGATAATGCATGAAAAGCACTTGGAGCAGAACGGGGCACGTGTAAGTGCTTCTAGCTGGGGTCATCAGGGAAAATTTAAGAGGTAGGATTTAAGTTGAGCATGAAAAAAATTCAGTGGGCTTGAGGAGGGGGCAATATGGCTAGGGGAGGAAATGACCAAATGCCACTTTTAGACTTTGTATGGTTTGAAATGGTTCTTAGATATATGAAAAAGGTGAGGGGAAAATGTAAGTTTAGTTTGACTAACACTTGGGGTCTGATGTTGTATTTTTGTCTTGTGCTCATTCTTTTAATCAGCCACAGCTGTAAGACCTGCTTTTTTGCGGGCAGCGTTTCAGGTGAAAATGGCTGTAATCACTTGAGTTTCTGTGTATTAAGTGTCCATTATGGGGCAGGCCCAGGGACAGGTGTTGAGGACACTGCAAATTAGATCCAGACATCATCAAGGAACTCTCCTAATGAGGGAGATAGGCAACTACTTTACAGTGATAATTACTTTGAACATATGCATATTTGTTGTGTGCCAAATGTAGGCACACTAGGGGTAGTTGGCAAAATAAATGAAATTTTGCCCTTGTGGAGTTTACTGAATGATATAGAGTGTTCAAAGGTAAGTGCTCTGAAAAATTGAGCTGGGTAAAGGGGATTTGGAATTGCTGAGGAAGAGGTTGCAATGTAAGCTAGGGTGGAGTGGATGAGAGACAAAAACTTAAGGGGGAGATAGCCGTGTTAATATCTGGGAGGGAAACATTTCAAATAGAGGGAATAGTTTCAAGGTGTTGAAGCAGACCTGTGAGTTTGGCTAGAATGGAATGAACAAAGAAGAGTAATAGTAAATTGGGTTAGTGGAGGTGGGGTGCAGATTTCATAGGGCTTTGTAGAACCATTCTAAGGACTTTGCTGGGTTTTAAAACAGAGGAATGACACCGTCTGCTTTTCAGCTTCAAAGGATCACTCATATTGCAGAGGGGAATAACAGTAGAAGCTTGGAGACTGGTAAGGAAGCTAGTGATCCAGAAGAGAGATGCTGGTACCAAGCTGGTAACATAAGAATGGTGAGAAATGCATGAATTCTGGATATATTCTGAAGATCAAACTAACATGATTGATTAGATGTGGCTTGTGAGAGAGGAGTGAAGAATGATTCCAGGGTTTTGGGGCTGAGCAATTAGAAAGTTGCCATCACCTAAGATAGTTATTGATGACTGTGGAAGGAGCAAGTTTGGGGAATAGATTAGGAATTCAGTTTTGGACGTGGTTAAGTTTGAGATTGCTTAGACATTTGGGTTGAGTTGGCATCCAAGTCTGGTGTTTTTGGGAAAGATCTGGAATGGAGATGAATTTAGTCATCAATTTAGGTAGTATTCAAAACCATGAGACTGGATGAGATTACCAAGGGATCTTTGGTAGAAAGAGAAAAGGGCCAACAATTGGTCCCTTTTTTTGTTTTGTTTGTTTGTTTGTTTGTTTTTGAGACAAAGTTTTACTCAGAGTCCAGCAGCCCAGGCTGGAGTGCAGTGGTGTGATCATAGTTCACTTCAGCCTTCAACTCCTGGGCTCAAGCAATCCTCTTGCGTTAGCCTTCCAAAGTGCTGGGATTACAGGCATGAGCCACCGTGCCCGGCCCAATTGTCCTTTAAATTGCCAGTATTAAGAGGATTGTTGTAGTGTGCAGTTAGAAGTCTTAACATGGATGATGTCTGTGAACTTATGGGGAAAAGTACCTCTTCAGTATCCTCCAAGTAGAAGTTAGCATTTCTTCTAGTTACTAATGTAAACAACAAGCTATAGTGGTTTTAATAGTACCTATGATTTTACTACCATTACAAATCAAATATTTTTATAGTTTACAGTTGACCCTTGAACAGTGCAGGGGCCAGGGTGCCAACCTGCTTTGCAGTCAAATTTATGCATAAGTTTTGACTCCTCAAAAACTTAAGTACTAATAACTACTAGTACTTCTGTTGACCAGAGGCCTTACTGATAATAGTTGATTAACACATATTTTGTTGTATGTTATATACTGCACTCATAAAGTAAGCTAGAGAAAATATTAAGAAAATCATAAGAAAAATATATTCATTAAGTAGAACTAGATCATTATAAAGGTCTTATTCTCATTCTTCACACTGAGTAGGCTGAGGAAGAAAAGGGGTTGATCTTGCCATCTCGGTAGTAGAGGAGGTGGAAGGGAAGGCAGGAGAGGCAGGCACCTGTTACCCGTGTAACTTTCACTGAAAAAAAAGAAAGTCCATGTGTAAGCGGACCTGTGCAGTTCAAACCTGTGTTCGAGGGTCAACTGTATTATGGTTTTTGTAGATATCTCAAAATATTATTTATGTTCATTACATTGAAATTACAATGGATATGAGATACACAACCAGATTGTTAAGAAGCATGTATAGACCAGGCATGGTGTCTCACATCTGTAATCCTAGCACTTTGAGAGGCCAAGGCCTGGAGTTTGAGATCAGCCTGAGCAATGTGGTGAGATGCTATCTCTATAAAAAAATAGAAGAATTAGGCATAGTGGTGTATGCCTCTTTTCCCAGCTACTCAGTAGGCTGAGGTAGGAGGA